TAATACTAACTTATACTAATATACATATACTAATCTATGCTTAATATTACTATTATTAATTTTAGTCTTATGCTAAATAAAAAACTGAATTTGTCTTATATAAGTATCACTTGAATTATTATCTTAATCAACAAATTTCACTATTATAAAAAACTTTTTACATATCATATTGACTTAGTTGATCTAAATATTTTAGAACCAATTTGTAAATGACCAAACTGCTCTTCAAAATGATTAATTATTTTTAATTCTTTATCATTATCACTTCTTTTAAATAGTGCATTAAATAAATAGTTAGAATAAACATCTGAATAATATTTTACTAAAATGTTTAGAAGTTCATCTGATAATAATATTTTGTCTTTGAAGGTTTCAAAAATTTGTCAGAAAAATCTTTTGAGCTATTAACAGAATTTGACTTAATATTTCAAGATATTTGAAGAAATTTTTGTAATTCAATAGTTTCAAATTGGTCTGATAAAGCTAAGCTTCCAATTATTTTTTGCTTTAAAAATAAATCTAGTCCTTTTTTGAGAATTTTTTTGATTAATAAGATTATTAACTATAAAATCTTGCATAAATTAATACATTAATTCTGGCTTAATTTTGTAATAGCTATTTGGCAAAGATCCAAGATAACTATTCATTCATTTAAAAAAGAAATACCAGAATGCATAAAGTAGTCTATAATCAAAACAATATTAACTAATATGAAGTACCAGATAGAGATTTGGTGTAATATATTCTTTATCATATTTTTCTTTTATTTGTTTTACAAGAAGAACTAGTTAACCATATACCTTATTTAATGTGACTATATTAATAATTCAACAAACAAGAATAGTACAGATTCATACAAAATTTGTATGAATTCTTTGGTCTGGTTCTAAAAGATGGTTCTATAAACAAGATATAGAATAAATTAAAATAAAATTTTTCATTCATCAGCTATAAAATATGCAAATCCTTTATCACTATTAACTTTTCTTAAAATTTATCCAATATCAAATAGTACTTAAACTTCTAATTTTTTTTTGAATTAACTTAAGAGCTTGAGTATCTAATCAACCATTATCGATCTATAATCATTTTATGATCTATTTTACAATACCCAAAAATAGGCAATATATTAGATTAACAACTATAAATCAAACAAGATTAAAATATGATAGCCAGAGTAACTAAGACTATTGAACCTGTGTAAGTTTTGTATATTGCATTCTATCTGACTTTGTATAATATTCTCTCTATCTTTTTGCATCATGTCTATGTTTAACAGAATCTCATATAATAAACTATGAATCTATATTATTAATATCTCTAAAATAATGATATCAATTTTTATATTATATATGTTTATCACAACAAAGATAAGCTACTAAAGCTAAAATATAGCCAAATAATTTTCTTTCTGCAGGTATATCACAAAAACATAAAATTACAATAGCTTGGTTTTTTTTAATAAAAAATATTCATAAGTTGATATTTGTATTCTATCCCAAAGTTGATATAATTCATTAACTATAAGTGCTAGATAATATAGTAATCTGAATCATTTAGTTAAAAATCAACTAATTGACAATTTTCTAACTAATTGATTTAAAAAAATTTAAAACAACTAATCAAATTAATTATCAACTAGTTCAATTATGAAATATTCTGTCTAATTAGGCTAATCTGTATTGGTTTCTTTATCTTGATTAGCTAATTGATAAATTTAGTTACATGATATAAAAATTGATTAGTTGCAACTATAGTTGGCAATTAATTGATTGGCAAAAGTTTTACTAACTAAAAACACTAAGATAATGTTTTATATGATACAAATAAACCTCATTTGGTTCAAATAAAATACCAAAGATTATTATATTTTCAACTTTAAATCTTCTTTTCTTGGCAAATTACAAATTGTTGTATAAATTATATCAATACTATACTGTGTATTAGTGAAAGATTGAAACTAGTCTAAGTTTAATATCAAACCAAGATATAAATCAATCATTTCATATATAAAAAATTGACTCCTTTTACCATTTCCGCTAATAAGCGTAAAGATGGTTATATTTATATTATAAGAGTAATTCATCATAATTCAACTTGTCTAACCTTTATGGAGACATTCAAAGCATATGGATCTTATCCTATAAAGTTTACTGTACTATTAGTTGAGGACATAGTAGCAATCTGACCTCATGATATTATGGATCATATTCATTCTGAAGTTGGGCTGAAACATTATATATAGGAGCCTAGAAAAGCAAAACAGCTAATAAAAAATGTAGGCAAAAGAAGTTGATAAGAGTTACCAATGCATAAAGCCATTACTTAATAATTTACTTATTGCAAATTTGGGAGTATTACTGCGTTTGAGATCAATGTCAAAAATCGATTTAATTATACATTTTTATGCTTATATCTATGGATTAAAGCTATTAAAAATTGCAGATCTATTTTTACTTTTGATGCTTGCTATTCAAAATCAAGTTATAAGGGTATATACCTTGGTGCAAGCATAATTGAAGGCAAAGGCAAACTCGTTCTAGTAGCATTTGCGATTTGTTTAATTAAAAATTTCAATAATTGGATGTAGTTTTGTGAACTTTTATATACAGCTTTTCCAACAATTAACACCAATAAAATGGTGATTATAAGTGATTGCGAAAAGGTATATTAGCTTACAGTAAAATTAAAAAAAAAAAATTAAAAAAAAATTAAAAAAAAAAATAATTTTATATTATAACATTGTAAAAATGTAGAGTATTGCTAATGCTGTACGAACATTATAGATATCAGAAATAATACTATTTGTTATAGTTCAATATATCTACTTATGACATACTTTTTTAAAATCTAACTGTTTATATATTTTTAATAAATAGCTTTTAATACTAAAGAGCAAAATATTAAATAATAATTTTATTATTTAAATATTTATTTTGAATTGCTAAAACAAAATTATACATTTTTATTGATCAAGAGCTAACCATATTCAAAAATTTGTTATGATTACAATTTTTTATTTTTAGTTGCCTTTTAATATTTCATAAGTTAACTACAACTTTCATTTTATACAATTTATTGCAATTTGGATACAGAATATATACTATAATATTATTATTAATTTTAAAATATTTTTAAACCTTATAAATTGAATTTGGATAGTTATTAAATTGATCTTTACTGCCTACTTCAACTAAGATTAGCCAAATAAATTTAATTGATACATTGAATCTAGTTTGAAATTTTAATAACCAAAATATAATCAATTCATATTCTAAAAATGAATTAAAGTTAGGTTAAAATTCAGTCTGATTATCATCAATATTTAGTGCTGAATAATTTTTAAATTCATTAATATTACTATAAATTTTTTTTTAGTTAATTGCTTATCTGATTCTTTAGCTAATTGTTTAACTTATTTATTAGCTAATTCTTCTGTTGATTCTTCTGCTGATCTTTTATTTAATTCTTTAACTTCTTCAACTTCTTCATCTGATTTATAATTAAATTGCTTAACTAATTTCTTATTTAATTTATTATTTAATTTCTCAAACTCTTTATCATCATTTTCATATATCAAGTTTTTATTTGTCAAGTTTTTATTGTTGAGCTTTTATTTGGTAAGTTTAATTGAGAACTTAAATAAGTGTGATATTTTTTTCTTGATAAAAATAACAGCTCTATATTTTCCTCAATATCTTCTGATTTTAAAATTGATTGATTGTTACTTAAATTTAGTTCACCTAATTAATCTGTAAATAATTTATTTCTTTCTTCTGTAACTATTTCTGTTTCTATTTTTTCATTTTTTTCTTGTCACCTCATATCTTCTAATTCATATTGAGCTTTTGTATAATAAGAAACTAGATTACTATTATATGTATATGATGAATAGTGACAAAGAACACAAGTATTTTATTGGGTTTGAAAAGTTGTTATAAAAGTTTCAGTTATATCAGAATCTAAACTTTCTGATTCTGAAATAAAATCTAAAATTTGTTTAATATTACAATTTTATAGTATTGTGAGTAAATTTGCTATATAATCGAGCTATTATAAAGTTTAGAACTAGTTTTAATAATTTGAGTTTATTATATAAATTTTGTAATATTTTGAAATTTATTCAAATTTAATTAGATTATATTTCAAAATATTACAAAATTCATGTAATAAACTCAAATTATTAAAACCAGTTCCAACCTTTAAGCTATTATTATTAAATAAAACTTGAAGTATTTTTTGTTTTTTTTAAAAAAATAATCAAAATCAAAACTAGCTTTTTATTAAAAAAATTGTATACAATTATAATTATCAATAGTTTTTTTTTTTAGCATAAGACTAAAATTAATAATAGTAATATTAAGCATAGATTAGTATATGTATATTAGTATAAGTTAGTATTA